CACAAAAATGGGGGGACAAGTTCGATCTTTTATGAAAGTTGATACCTACTTACCTACTTCTAATTAGCATTAAATTCAACTTCATCGCATATAATACAAATTGAAAACACCCGTGTTTTCAGCAAAAATTATTGCAATTAATTGTAGAAAAGCTACTATTTCTTGATTTTCATGATCTTGGACGTATTATGATAAAATTAATTGCCTAAATAAGCTTTTTATTTATAAAAAAAAAAAATGAAAAATAATGAGTTTTCAAATACTTTTCAGATAAAGTGGTTATGGAACTGCGTTTTTAACCCAAATTTCTATTATTGATCATTATTAATGAATTAACAACTAAATTTTCTAGTCCTAAAATTTACATTTAAAATAAATAAACCTGTCGATTGGTTTAGTCAATTACTTTCATTATTGATTGAATTATTTTCATGAAAACGTAAATTTAAAAAAAAAATAGTTTTTAATAATTTTTAAAAGTGAACTTAGTTTAGCAGCTCAAAAGTCTATTTTAAATGGTTTTAACAATGACAAACTCTATCTTCATCTGAAGTATATTTTGTTTAGTTAGCAGTGAATCAATTGTTAATTACTTAAATTAAATATTTCTTTAGTTAAAAAACACATAACTTGGATTTTTACTTTTCTGATAAAAATTGGTCCATTGTTTATATGAACTTTTTTGCAGCTCTTGAGGTTTGCTATCATTCTTATAAAAATTTCCCTCTGTTAACGGAGCACGCTGTATATTTAGCATTTAGTTGGTTTAATTTTATATCGTGACATATATCTCAATCAAATATCATATAGTTATTTTTAAATTTTCATTTATTTTTGTGAAATTTAAAATTTTATTTGCTCCTAATTTTTAATTATACATTATGTTTCTGAAACTAATTATGTATTTTAATACGCGTTAGGTCGTTAAGACGATACGCGTAGAAATATATGCATTACATGGTTACTCTAATCTGGAAAAAATAGGATCATATATGTATGATATATACACACATCATTGAAAATGAATAATATTTCATGAACATGTTTTAAATATCAATAATATAAAATTTAAGAAAGACATGTGAGCTTTCTAGTTTGTTGTAAGTTGTTTAAAAAATGTGTAGTTAATTTTAGAGCTATATTCTGATTACTAAATCAACACCACTTTGTCTTTATTATTCATTTCGCGTGAGAACTTTACTATTCCATTCGCAAATAGAATTGCAATAGAACGGAAATCATTGTAATACAATTTTTAAGTAGTTTAATTATTATTCCTTTCTGATTTTGTTGTATCGAATAAGAAATCTCATCTTAGGTATCACATTAGATAAGCAGTAGTGAATGATTTAGGTACAGTTTGATATAAGAGATAGGACAAAATATTTGTCGAAAGGCGCTGATTTTTTACAAGTCACACTATTGACCATAGAATACAATCAGTGGTATTATTTGTATAACAGTTTTCCTCCTTTATATCCACCTGTGTATATTTAAATATTCCATCCACGTGTTGTTTATGTGAATCACAGTCCCTATGCTCTTTCAATACATCGACAGCCACACTGCAAAAGCTTTTAAGGACAATTTCCATAGAAAATGAGGTTTATAGTTTTTCTCGTCTTTCTTGTGCTGGCGCATATTCTGATCCCATAAAATGAAAACTAACTACGATGTTTCATTGCTTCTTTATGGCCTTTTGTAAATAAGGACTATAAAGACTTTATTATATGTATATATTAGTATTGTTATACTTCTATATGTAATTTATAAAATAAACGTTTTGGGGGGGTTGGAAAAAAAAAGTAAAAACCTGTAATTTAAAAACTAACAAATTTTGATGTAAAAAATTGAAAGTTACAGTGAAGGTTATAGTGAAGACTGTGTCGTTTTACGAAAAAACGTAATGAAATGCTCGATGAAAGGTGGTAATGTAATTACAGAGTGTATAAAGAGTTTTGCGCATTGACTACAATATCAATTAGCTTTATTAATAGGCTAAAACTAATTTTTCTTATACTCTTATTGTATTATTTTTTAAATTTCTAATTAGTGGCGGGTACTTCCAGTCTCTGGGCAAATGCCCGGGTTCACCTGCTCTGATGCCGACACTGCTTACCATGGAACTAGGCGAAGCAAAGAAGAGAGTGGTAAGTGGGAGTATAATATTGAACGGCCTTCAAAACAATCGAAACCTCCTGGACACTGCAAGATGTGCTTGAATAGAAAAAAAGCTACAATGCCGCCGAATTCCAGATAGTGAGAGACGGAGAATTTATTTCATCAATTGGAAAATTTAACACGAGACGACAAAAGAACTCTAGGTTCATTTTTTCAAACCAATGAATCTTCGGAATCGCAAAAAAATCAAAATCAAAGTGATCTACAAACCAGCACGTTACCTACAACTTACCGAGCATTCATGAATCCAACCATGTCCATATGAAGTTGAGTACTTCATAAAACGAATTTTTCACGGACTACTCCGAAATGGGACGCATGCATTCCGTTCGAGCCGGCCCTTCAGAGGGAGACAAAAAAGTGAATAACCCGTATAATCTAATATTCGCTTTCCAGTCAATTTATTTCTAAATTATCATTTCGAGGATTGTTTCTCAACATTTTGGAAACTTTATTCCTATCATGCTTTGATCATTATTAACAAATTTATGAGAGTTACTACAATGAATTCAATTGTTTTCACCAAACTAATACTTATTTTTCAAAATATCTAAAAAGTTTTCAGTTAGAAGTAAAAGATTATTTGGCAGAAATACGATTAAATAAATTACATAGAGCATTACATCATTGTCTTAGGCCTGTAAACAAATTGAACTGAAAATATAATGCTCATAGAACAAACGTTACGCTGTTTTTTATGTTTCCTAAATTTTTTTAATTTTTATTCTTACAGGCTTTTGCAGTCTGGATGTTGATATGTTTAATTCTAAAAATTGAAACTCATTATAGTAAATAATATCTCCCTCCCTACAACAATTCCTGATATCCTTACATTAACTCATAGACCAAAATATTATGTACGCCCTATTTAGTGTTATGACTTCGAATAAAATAAACCGTTAAGCATTCCTTTATATGAATTGCTATATTGGCTAATATGCTCATGCATAAAGCAAAACAAAAATTCATTATTTTAAAACTTTTATATCACCCTATCAAATTTACTTTTTAAATGAGACTGTTTATTATTTTTTTCTTTAGATATTAGCTTCGTACAGGCTTAAAAGTGCGCCTTATGTAAATAAACATTGACTTTTAACTTATGTTAGTTTCGAATATGTTATAGTGAAGTGCTGCAACTTAGGTCATATTCATATATTGCTAATGCATTAATTTATTTGATTTTATGTATGCACTTCCATTTACCATAGTGTACGATTATATCTTCAAATTATATTCGTAGAATCGTTCATTCTAAAAAGTATTACTTTTATTTTTCTACAATTATTTTCGAATATTAGCATTTTAGTTTTGTAGTATATAAAGTGTCCCTTAAGCAGAGGAAAATATTTACAATAGTAGATAGCAGATCTTCAAAAAATTGTATATAAACAATGGTCCAACTCCCAGCAGAAAAGTAGAAAATTAAAGATTTGTGATATTTTAAGTGCACCGTTTTTTGTTGATTAGAAAGCTATAACTACAAAAATATTTAATTTAAGCAATTTAAAACTGCTTCATAGTAACTTTTATAAAAATTACATTAAATTAAAGTTGAGTTTGTCATTGTTGAGACCAATTAAAGAGAACTTATATTTGCATCAACCTCAAACTATACTATTAAGTTTTATTAAACTATATAATAAGTTTTAAGTCCTTATTAATTAAGATGAAGTTTATTAGTAGTATTGCCCAAAATCGGTTTTGGTCTTGCACTTCGCAAGACCAAGACTAAGAATGGTAAAACATAATCGATTTTTTGAATAAAAATTAAGGCAAAATAGTTACTAATACTTGACAATATTAGTTATTACATGTTAATAATTTCTATAACCAACATACTTTTGCATTTAACTCCTCTAATTTTTCATTCGGGCTTAGTTACGTTTATCCTATCTAAAAAAATACAGTAATAGTTCTACAGTCATAAGCTAATAAGTATCTACAAGACTATTGCCCAAGACCAAGACTGAGTTTGCAAGACCAAGACTCGTCTCGGTCTCGCAATTGGGCAACACTATTTGCATTTATTAGGTAAACTTTTGAGATTCACCTCAAGTTATGTAAAAAAATGATGTGATTTTATATCCTGTAACCAAGAAGTAACTAAATTTTAAGCAACGATGACTACAATAAATTAAACGAGAGCTTTAATTTTTTTTCCCCATGATCTTGGATGTATTATGTTGTACTCTCAAGAAGGCTTACTGAGCTAGTAACGTTGGAACGGCAAATAGTGAAGCCCACATCACATATATGAGGAGACAAGTTAGATTTTTTATGAAAATTGATACCTACTTCTAATTAGCAGTAAATTCAACTTTATCGCATATAATACAAATTGAAAACGGTAAAAATTTTCTTTTGCAAGAAATTGTAATTCTGATTGCAAGAAATTAAAAAAGATACCAAACCGTGGACGACCTCTTTCAGAAAGAACAGGAAAAAAGAAATAATTTTAACTTGGCTTAGAATTGGACATGCAGCATGCAAACATCCAACACGTCACTTACACTGAAACACATTGTAACAACTTGCAGACTATACTCTGACACCAGAACAAAATATAATATACCTTCCTACATATCTGAAGCACATTCAGATGACGAAGAAAAGATAAAAAAAATATTTGAATTTATAAAAGACATTAAATTAGTACACCTAATTTGATTACATCTAAAGCCGCTAATGACCCGATCGGGTAGATGCGGAATGTATCAATAAATAAATAATTTTTCTTTTAACTTTTGTACGATCTTATCTTTTGTACATTAATATTTATAACAATTTTAATGACGGGTTCTACTATAAATACTTGCCTAAATCCTTATGCGGCCTAGTGATCCAAGAGTCCGCTGCAAGAAGTATGCCATGCTGGAAGAGCACCGGAGGACCACTGTTGTTCCCTATCCTGTGAATCCATAGGCTGTAGCCGTCTTCAGTGAGCAGCTCGATGTTGGTGGCTTCGTAGCCCTCGGCCGCCGCAAGTTCTGTCTAAGGAAGGCTGATGGCTTAGTTAAGAATAATTAGCTGTTATAATTGTTTGGCTCTATAAGCAGAGCACAAGAGAATGAATGCACAGAATGAAAGATTTTTTATCGACATGACAATTGCGAAATTGTTTTAAAAATCAATATATACTGTTGGATCGACCAAATTTAAGCTGCAGTCCTTATTGTAATTAAATTTACGAAAATATTTCTATTTACATATTATTAAATTCACAAGTTTTCCATAATAAACACCAAAAACAATTTTTTTTTATTGAAATATAATTCCTTCTCTTGAACTGAATCAACATGCAAAATATCGTACGGGCATCTCATTCTAATGGTATTAATCTATAACTATTAGGCACCTACTACCGATTGAATAGGTCTTGCTACTCAATTGATTGCAGCTACCATAGTATAAAAACACGTATAAAATTATCACACTACGCCTCCTGAATTCGATTTCAGTTTTCTAGCCTGGTTGAGCTTTTATGATGAATTAGATATTTAGTTATCAATATATAATGTATAATGTATCAAATCTGACTCCACCAACGATGATTATTTGACACCCTTTATATGAAAAGTAAATAGAAAAATTATTATATAATATAAAATTTAACGTTTTTAGATTAAATAGTCATATATAAGGTTTTTACTGACACCATACAGGTCGAATTTTTGTCAGAACCAATCATATATGTGGTTCAATTCTTGTCCAATTTACCTGATATATACATTCATATGGTGCTATTAACCTCCTAAATGGTTGAAAAGGCAGTTATCACAAAATCTATCTTTAAAAAATGCGGAATAAAAAAACCGATCTCGACATTATTTTTAATAATTGTTGACGTTTCAATCTTCAAAATAGTTGTTAAAGTTTTAAGGTAACATAAAATTATTATACATACAAATAATTGAGAATTGATTCGCTAGACGCACCGATTAACTACATTGTAGAGGTATAAGTGGAATATCTAATGGATCTCATAATTTTTTTTTCGCTTAGCCCCTACGACATGGGATTGATATTTTGAAAATGTGGAATGATGGAATCCGTTGTATTGCATCAATTGAGCCCCTGATAAATTGAGAGATTCCAAGATGCACTATATTCTATAGTAAACTTAAAATCAAATGGGAATCTGATCTGATCTCAGCATAAAATATGTTCCAACACGAGTTTTGATGGTATTTCCATCACAGACGTATGCGTGATACAGGTTTTGGAACTGGAAAAGTGTATTGTGCCTACAGCTGACAGTTTTCTGATAGTTAAAACTCTTGTTAGAACAGACACACTGACTGGCCCACGGGAGCTTTCGGGCCATAAAAATATTTATTTATAAAAAATTTATAAAAAATATTATTTATAAAAATATTTTTCATTGTATCAAATTTGTTTCTGTGAGTGACCTGAGTTAAATATTTAAACAATCATAATTTATCCTATTTTTAAATTATACTCTATGACGCTATTTTATATATGTAAGATTTTTCTTTTTTATCTGGAGTAATAACCGTTACATTAAAAAAAAATCACCAAATTAAATCCTGGATCCGCTAATAATTATTATCTACTAGAAAAATTGGAAACCTACTTCTTGTGCACCACTAGCAAAACTGTGAGACAGATAAGAACCTTCTTCTAGAATGATCTACCTTAAGAAAAACTCTCAAAATCCTCTACCATATCATAATAAATAAAAATTGATTTACATAAAATATGATTAAGATCTCGATAAGGCATAAGATAGCAAAGATTAAATAAGTGACAATGGAAGATTTAGTTGTTTAAATACTTATTAAAACACGCAAAAAATTGAAAAAATAAATATAGGTCTCTCTATTATATAGCATTTCCAAGTCAATTTTAACCTTTTCCAAATCAAATTCAACCTTTTCCAAGTCAAATTAAACCTTTTCCATTTCAAATTCAACCTTTTCCAAGTCAAATTCAACCTTTTCCATTTCAAATTCAACTTTCGAATTTTTGTCAATTTTCGATTTTTTTCGAAATGAAGGCCACTTACTATATTATCGAAGGCATAGCTTTTGAAAAATACAAAAAAAATTTGATAACGCGGTTGCATATCCATTTATTTTAACATTTTAGATTTTTTCAGTGTGATATTTCTATGTCATTTCCAAGTCAAATTCAACCTTTTCCAAGTCAAATTCAACCTTTTCCAGATCAAATTAAACTTTTTCCAAGTCAAATCAACCATTTCCATTTCAAATTAAACCTTTTCCAATTCAAATTCAACCGTTTTCATTTCAAATTAATGTTTTAATTTTTTGTAAATTTATATATTTTTTTAAATAATGGCCATCCCCTCCCCCCTCCAATATGAAAGTCTATTATTATGATCTCCTAAGTAGAATTTTCACTTACGGATATCGATTTATTGTACCTATTCGGATTTATTAGGGACTAGTATTATGCTGTCCTGTACCTAGATTTGAAAATAACCTCCATTTTAAGATTAAGTGACTGCGTTTCGAATCATTTAAGTTTTTTTGACTTATTCGATATAAGGGTGTATTTTTATGTTTCCCGATCAGTAAATTTTGAAAATGACATCTATTTTATGTTTACGCCACTGTGTTTTGACTTATTTAAGTTTTTAGAATTTATCCAATATAAAGGTCTACTTTTATGTTTCTGGAGCCGTAGATTTTGAAAACGACCTCCATTTTAAGATTAGGCCACCGCGTTTCGACTTATTTGAGTTTTTCGGATTTTTTTTCATACGAGGGTGTATTCTTATGTTTCCGGAGCCGTAGATTTTGAAAACGACCTCCATTTTAAGATTAGGCCACCGCGTTTCGATTTCTTTGAGTTTTTCGGATTTTTTTATATGAGGATGTATTCTTATGTTTCCGGAGCCGTAGATTTTGAAAACGACCTCCATTTTAAGATTAGGCCACCGCGTTTCGACTTATTTGAGTTTTTCGGATTTTTTTCATACGAGGGTGTATTCTTATGTTTCCGGAGCCGTAGATTTTGAAAACGACCTCCATTTTAAGATTAGGCCACCGCGTTTCGATTTCTTTGAGTTTTTCGAATTTTTATCATAAAAGAGTGTATTCTTATGTTTCCGGAGTCGTAGATTTTGAAAATGACCTCCATTTTAAGATTACGCCACTGCGTTTCGGCTTATTCAAGTTTGTCGAATTTATCCAATTTAAAGGTCTACTTACTTTTATGATGCCGGAGCCTTAGTTTCTAAAACGACTTACATTTTAAGATTAGGCCACTGTGTTTCGGTTTTTTTAAGTGTTTTTGATTTTTCCTTCGAATAAAAAACAAAATACGAAGGATTAATTTATTTTTCAATAAATACAAAAAAATATCTAATCATTATAAATAAAATACGTATTGTTACATTTTTAATTTAATTTTAGTTATCTTTTTTAATGTTGTGGTCTCCTGTCACAAAATTATAAGATTTCGTACATTTAGCTGAAAAATCTGAATACGAAGGTTAAATTTATTACCAGCTGCTTTTCGGCTTTTTAGTTTGTATTCTGTGGTTAATTTAACTTTAGCTTCATAATATTTATTTATTTATTCATACTCGAAAACATATTGATGAAACTTTGTATTGAAAAAATCCAAAATGAAGCCTAATTATTCGAGTTGCAGCGGCTTAATCATAAAATGGAGCTTAAATATTAGATAAATTTAAATATTAAAGATTAGAAAAATTTCAATACGTCTCGGATAACATATAAGTAGATCCTTATACCGAAAAAGTAAAAAAAAAAAACTTTTATAATCCAAAACACAGTGGCATAAACTTGAAATTGGGTCATTTACAAAATGGGGGAAATCTACTGCTCCAGAAACATAAAATTAGATCTTTATACTTCTTAAATTCTAAAAACTTAAATAAGTTGAAACGCAGTGGCGTAATCATACAATAGAGGTCATTTTCAGAATCTACGGTTCCGAAAACATAAAAGTAGACCTTTAAATTGGATAAATTCGAAAAACTTAAATAAGTCAAAATGAAATGGCGTAATCATGAAATGGAGGTTATTTTCAAAATCTACGGCTCAAGAAACATAAAAGTAGACCCTTACATCGAATAAATCAAAAAAACTTAAATAAGACGAAACGCAGTGGCGTAATCTTAAAATGGAGGTCATTTTCAATATCTACAGCTCCGGAAACATAAAAATACACCCTCATATGAATAAATATCGAAAAAACTCAAATAAGTCGAAACGCAGTGGCCTAATCTTAAAATGGAGGTCATTTTCAAAATCTACAGCTCCGGAAACATAAAAATACACCCTCATATGAAAAATATCCGAAAAACTCAAATAAGTCGAAACGCGGTGGCCTAATCTTAAAATGGAGGTCGTTTTCAAAATCTACGGCTCCAGAAACATAAAAGTAGACCTTTATATTGGATAAATTCTAAAAACTTAAATAAATCAAAACACAGTGGCGTAAACATAAAATGGATGTCGATTTTCAAAATTTACTGATCGGGAAACATAAAAATACACCCTTATATCGAATAATTCAAAAAAACTTAAATAATTCGAAACTCAGTCACATAATCTTAAAAGGATGTTATTTTCAAAAACTACGCGTACGAACATCAACAACAGACCCACACATCGAAAAATTAAAGATAATTAAATAAATAAAAAAAGGTTGAATTTGAAATGGAAAAGGTTTAATTTGAAATAGAAAAGGTTGAATTTGACTTGGAAAAAGTTTAATTTGATTTGGAAAAGGTTGAATTTGACTTGGAAAAGGTTGATATTGACTTGGAAATGCTATATAAAAGTTTTTAGTGACTTTCATATTTTATTTTAGTATTAGGAGAGTAGAAGATAACAGGAACTCAAGTAGTGTTGTTCTCCTATGGCGATTATTTTACAAATTATACAGCTATTCATTTAATTACAATTGTGTTGAACTCCTCTTACCTCATACTATACTAATACGAAATAAATATTTAAGACGAAAAATTTCAA